TAAACTGATTGCAACTCAAAACTGAGCATCTCTGTGTTTTTGAGCCCCTGGTTTGTGGAGATTGTTAGGAATATAATCTAACAGCCAGCTTCCAAAACACTCAGATCAGATCAGCATCTAACAAACAGAGAGCTAACAGTCATACTGGCTCCCTCTTATGGCCGATTGAGGAAACGGCAACCAATTACATTTTACAATATGATTTAAAGAAACAGGTACAGCATTGCTATATGATTTATATATTGCCAACCCAACTGTTAGATTATATTCCTAACAATCTCCACAAACCAGGGGCTCAAAAACACAGAGATGCTCAGTTTTGAGTTGCAATCAGTTTATCCCTGTTTATGCCCTCATCGCTTCTAGGCATTGGGTCAGCACCCCGAAGCCATCAACTCACACAGTCTGGCATGGCCCAATTAAGGGAGTACTGCATCTCTTTTCTACTTCCTCTGGAACTCAAGTGGCATTAAAAGGAACAAGCTGCACCGCCCAAAATTGCATTCCATCTGGAAGGTTGCTGATCCATCTGCTTTGACATTCTGTACAGCCTCTTAAAGGAAACTCGGAGAGGCTGTTCTCCTGAATTGCTATTTTCAGTCTAACAAGTTCTTGATCGTAATGTTGGGGTGTTAACTGGAGATCATCCCTGAGATGTTTTTCACTGCTTTGTTGCACCTTCCTAGAAAGCTTTGGGGAATTGAAAAGTGAAAGTGCGTGCCTTAGTCGGCTTTGCATGCTAAATTGAAGGTCCTTGTCTCCTGTTAAATTGTTTTTAGCTTGACGCTTGAGAGATCTGTCAGGAGCAGCGCACTGAACACTGGTAAAGCATCACTGCCTGTGTTATCCCAGTCTCACGGAGAAACAAGACCTTCTTGCTGTCTAGAGAAAAAGATTCTCATGGAGGGTAGTTGGCAGTTTAGCATTATGGAAAACTGGCAGCACTACAGTTCTTGTTACAGAACCAGTTGCTTCTCCTGGCCTTCACTGCATGCCTGGCATGGATTAGACCAGGGATGTCAAACTCAAGGCCTGCAGCAGAGGTGGGTTGCTGTTGGCATTAATGCCGGTTTGGTGCGTGCAAAAACTTTGCCAAAATTTTGAACTCTGGGAGTTGACGTCCACAAGTCTTAAAGTTGCCAAGGTTGGAGACCGCTGTTCTAGTCCACTTGCTTGATGGAGAGTTCTGAAAACTCAAAAGTTTTCAGTAGTTTTGTACAACTTCAGGTGACCTACAAGATACTATTCTCTATGTATTTAGGAGTTTAGGCTCATGGTCAACTCAGCTATGATTGCTTTAACAAGTCTTGGATTTTGAACTCTCTTTCTCTCTTCTTCCCCTTCCATTCTTTCTGCTTCGAAGGGTTGCGTGAGGTAAAAGATTCTTGGAGAGGTTCAACCTTTCTCTTGTTTTTCCTCAGAACAAATTGATGCTCTAGCTGACCAGCATATTGTCCATGTGGCCTGCGGTGAGTCTCATAATGTGGCTCTTAGTGACCAAGGCCAGCTTTTTTCCTGGGGCGCAGGAAGTGATGGCCAGTTGGGGCTTACAACGACGGAAGATGCTGTAACAATTCCAAGGTAAATATGAGAGATTATGCTTGTGGGACTTTTCCCATTCTTGTGGAAGATTGCAGATACGTGCAAGTGATTTCAGGGAAATTTGTTTTTCCATAAAAAAATTGGAAGACAGTGGAAGATTGCAGATATACTAACAGAGGGATAGACTCAAGATCACGTGTCAATATTCTTTATAAAGCCTTGGTAAGGCCACACTTGGAATACTGCATCTAGTTTTGGTCGCCACGATGTAAAAA